TTTCCAGCTGGATGACGTAATTCTGAAGCCTACACTGTCCCTTTTAGACAAAATCATTGGCACTAGCTTTAATATAAATTCAGTAGTCACGATTTCTTCGTGAGTGATTTACTAGAGTACTGTAACAAGGCTGTGCGTAATCAGTGTTTTCCTTTCAGTTATTGTGTTAGTGATAGAACAGGTTTTTCAATCAGCCATTTAACTGTTTGACCTTTGACCTTATAGTTGTGTTTCACCCTTCTTATTGTTTTACAGGCTAACTACACGTTCATACACCTACTGACTGGTGACTGACCTGTGTTTTATCTGTCTGAGGTATCTACATTTTCGAAATCAAACTAATGTCCAAATGTATTCATATAAAAAACGAAATGGTGTGAAGTTCATTTGGTTACTGCAATTCACGTAGACAAAGACGAATTGGATGATGACTTTGTCCATTTTAGTCATCATCACAGTTGGTGCAGTTGATTTATGAAATAATATTTGGTTTATCTTTGGTCGGTGCATTCCGTGGTATGAATGTTATATCTCGAAGGGATAGTTTACTTTATATTGCAGTTAGTGTTGATGTTGTTGTCTAAAGTGGCAGTGAAGGCCTCACAATTAAACCGTTTAGCATAGAGAACACAATGCAACCAACATCGTCCAAATGAATTCCTATCACCATTGTATCTGTTCTCCTATCCTTTGTATACTGTTTGACGAAACTATTCTGTCTAGCTTTTACAGTGACAAGGTAAACATTTGAATATATGGTAGCCATCATGCTCCTTGCCTCCATGCTCCAGTAATAAACACATCTCAAGTATACATTGTCTGGTCACTGAAGACCAGTCAAATGCTAAGTGAATCTTGTCGATAGTTTTGCTATAATGTCACATGTTCGAAGGTCAACTGTCGCAGCGCACCTTGATTGTTGTTTAACGGCTGGAATCAATCAATCAAATGGTTTCAACTTAAGTTCCTTAATTTTTGATGCTTTCTAGTAAGCGGTTTCTGTAACCGGAAGCGAGACGATGTCCCCTGTGAAATCAAAAATAGTTCTACCTCATCTTTTAGTCAGAAATGTTATCACTGAGCTATTTAAGTTTCATGGCATGTCACATAAGTGGTGATAACTAATTGTCAGTTGTCGTAATATGCAACAAATGAATACTCGACATTTTCCTATGGAGTTTATAATATAACCCTATGTGATGTAACACACAGATGCAATTCTATGAGATGTAAGATTTTGGAACGCAATCTATAGGAAATCCTAGAAAATCCTCTGATTCAGCTAACCACTTATCATCGAATAAGCAGTAACGTTTTCATGATTACAGATAAGCCTTACTGATGAATTTATAAGGATAAACTAAATACAGTTTCTTGTTGACTGACTTCTACTATCTGCCAGTACCATTGCTAATTTAGACTAAGTGAAACTTTTTTTCAAAGATAAGATGTCTCAATTGGTTACCATCCAAGCTTTACCGCCTACACTACGATAAAGTATAGGGAAAACTACAAAAATATTACAAACTTACACGTAAGAATAAATAGCAGCACCATATGGATTATATTAGAAAGATGATACATAATTACAAGGAAAAATAACGACAGAGAGAGTTGATGGTATGAACAATGATTATCAAGATGAATTAGAGATAAAATCATCACCAAGTCAGATTCAAATAAAACATCACTTTATTATTTGCATAGAGGCTTGATTTGTAGACTTGAGCCGTATATGTTTCTGAGACTGTAGGCATTTTCTTTTTTCTCTTATCTACCGCTTACTGTCAATAACTTCATAGCTTCGACGTCTTGGTTACAGTTGTGAAGAGATTTAGTTATCAGATCTCCTGTGAACTGCACTGATTTCTATACAGACAAGTTTAAGAACCCCACTCACCAATGATCAAACTCAGGACCTTCAAGTTTCACAGCGAACGTATTTAACCATTCAACCACTAAATCGGTTTCCAGTGGTTCACAGTTTTCAACTTCTACCAATTCACTACATAGTGCGACATCCGCTTCCCTTTCGACTGGTTGACCCCACAGGTCATGGCTTTTAAGTTCAATCTCTAGCTGGGTCGTGGGTGCATACTACTAAGGAGTACCACACCAGGATGAAACAGATGTCCAGTGCCCTAAGATTTTCAATGATTCCCTAACTGATATCAGTCAGGGAGGAATAATACCTCTACATATTTATGTATTTTTCCTCAGATGAAGGTTACATAATTACCTGTTAAAATCATTCATAGTTATGGTACTAAAGAATCATAATTATACTGAATGTATAACTACCAAATGAAGAGAAGCCTAGTCACACATCTGCATATAATTAGCTATTCTCTGCCTCGGTTAGATGTAGTATCGATCATCTTGCATTTCTTTGGTACTGAGAGGCTGATCGAATACAATTTTAAACAAAAAAACTTGTTTATTCACTATAGATGGCTGGTTTGTGTATATTTCAATGATTCAGTGTGTATATTTTCATGCTTTGTTACGATCATCATTTAATCAAGTTTTCATTGAACCATGAACAAGATTTTATTTTCTGTAAATTGAACATTTACAACTAAGAAAAATGTGAATTAAGGTCAAATATAATTATTTTGGATTTTTCTTAAAAAAAATATTTTGTTTTTCTCTTTTATGAAATTGCATAGATTTTATTAATGATGGATCGTGGCTAGCAATGGAATCCACGATGCGCATTTCGTCCTATTTGGGACACGTCAGCTGCATGTACCTGCTTCCCAGTGAGTGATATTGTTCCCACCGGGATATGATATAAAAAAGGTATGATATAAAAATAATCATACTATTGTATAAGTTTGCCTGTTAGATAGATACAGGAGCATGGAGAATAATGTAGGTAATACTGTAGTGCGAGTTGCTGATTAGAATGGATATAAGTAGTGTATATCGAGAGTGCGGCAGAAATCTTAGGCAATTCGTCGCAATGAATAAAGATTCTGTCTGCTCAGGGGAACGCAAGAGACAAAATGGGCGTCTTGAAAGCAAACCAGGACAGAAGCAGAAGAGGAAATGAAGCAGATTATGCAAATGACTATCTTGGTGGAAGGTGTACAGTATTTGACGACTACGGTAAAAGATGTCAGTAATAAATGTTTCTTCTTCCGTCTACATCTTGTCGTTTTCAACAATTATTTACCTCTCGTGTCTCCACTGCAGCTGCTGATGTACCCATCAGCTGTCTGGTGACCTTAGTCAGCTCATCAATATCTATGCCTTGGTCTGCGTTCACTAGTCGATGGCATTCGGGATACTTCCGGTAAACTGTGCAGCCAGCAACTGTACCTGATAGTCCTCAAACAAAGTATGAAGTGCTTGTTGAAACAGTTTTGTCAACTTCACAGCCAATATCAGTGGGTCTTCGTCTATTCAACGTTTCGTGCTACGGAACTGTTGCGTCGCCAGCTCCCTGTCCGCTTGGCTGTCAAAATTCCGCCTTCAGGCGTTCAGCCATTCTCTACTAAGTTTCCTTCCCATCCACGCGTTTCACGCCGTCATATGCCACTTTCGTTCTACCCTTCAGCAACGTGCCAAGTACCACGGCCTTCACTCGTGAATCTTGGACACCCATTAGCTGCACGACCGACTCGAAGTCTTTGACAAAGACCTTGATGTCTCCATTCTCAAACACTACAGACCATAGGATCTTCATCACATCCAGAAGCAACGACATCAATTGCATAATATGCTTCATTTCCTTTTCTGCTTCTAACTTGATTTTCTCTCAACAAGCTCACATTGTTTCTTGAGTTTCCCTGGGCACAATCTTTACCCATTGCTGGTAATTTCCTTATGATTTTTCTCACCTTCTCAACATATACTACTTATATCCATTATGATCAGCAACGCCCACTATAATACTACAGTAAACACAATAACAGTCGTTCTTCAAAAGCCAAGTCCATGAATCCAACTTAAAGTCATTGTGAGTGACGTCAATTTAGTCCAACACTACAGATGTAGGAGGAGCTAGATTGATGATAACAAGATTGTGAAACTTCCTCCTTTCTTTATTTTAATGAATTCTGAAGTTACACTAGCCTGGTATGGTCATTCGCAGATATCTGTGGTTAAGAAGTTCGGATATCTGTACTTAACAAGCCATAAGCCAAGGCACTTTAAAGTGTTAAACTGAAACAATACGCGATACCCACTGAACTAATGTCAAGTCAGTGTTTCTATGTGATGGTTCAAAAACTTGGTGCGTCACAAAAAGCATTTCCAGCAAACTACAGATATTCATCAACAACTGCCGCCTACGCTGGCTCGCTACTGAAGATCAGATGGCCAGAATAATAAGAATAAGCAACAAGGAACTCTGGCTAGCAACGGTCCAACCAAGAAATTGTCTCCTAACAAATATGCAGAAGAAGGGAGTGGAGATGGATTGGGCATACACTGAGAAGACCATTGAGAAACATCACACGCCAGGCCGGGTACTTGAGTGGAACCCAGATGGGAAACGACGAGTTGGACGTCCGAGGCTGACATGGGGGGCATGGTGTGAGGAGGAAATGAGAGGTTGTGGGCAGTGATGGAGCCAGGTTGAAAAACTTGTAGAGAAGAGAGTGGAATGGAGGCATGCTACTGAATCGGTATGTTCCACTAGGAACCCAAGGGATAAATAAATAATAATAATAATTACACAAAAAGTGACGTTCGTGCTTCAGTGGCGTAGTGAATAACGCTTTGGCATTTAAAGCAACGAGTATTAGGTTCGAGTCTCAGTGGGAACAACATCACTTACTGAGCTGCAGTTGTATCTAGCTGACGAGTCAAAAACAGGACGAAACACATAACCTAGATTCCACTACTAATCACAAATAAGTAAATTTTAGTAATAATAATGATGATCTCAAACATCAATCCATTATTTAAAGATCTACTGACTTCTCATAGTCAGATTTTATCTTTGGCATTAATGACCATTCTTTCCCTTGATGAACTTGAAATAGGATGAAAGATAAGTCTACCATTAATAATTACCATATATTGTATAGTGGTTAAATTTTAATAAATGGATATACAAAAAGTCAACATCGACACTGAAAACTGAACACAAAGGTGATATCATTAGTAAGGTTATAAATCAGTGTGCAAGAAGACGTTTTCAGAAAATGTTCTATGCTGCAAAATTGTTTTTCATTTTCCATATCCAACCAGTGGTAGGTAGGTGCAAGGCATATATAGACAGAGATTTTGATTCTGCTTGTTCACTATGCATATACACAACTGTTGATATAGGTGCACAATTAGTTAAGTCCAGCATACGATATCTGAACACCATCTAGGATGTCTGAGTTAAAGGTGGATGATGACAATAAAAAGCTCACTACTTGTACATTTAGCAGATACTGGTCATAAAGTGAATTCAGTCAAAGTTTTTATAGTTATTTACTGTATACCATACAGTCTTCAGTCTAGTTTACGTATTCACTTGTTACCATACACTTATGTATTCACAAGACGTTTCTACAATCCCTGTCATTACTTTGGTATTGAGGTTAAATTACAACGTGGCTTCAATTCTTCTTACGGTTTCCTACCTACTGTACAAAAATTTGTTAACAAAGGACCCACCATCTCCTCCAGTCTGTCCGCTCAATTTTCAATCTCCCCATTATTATATATTCTTGTTAGTGTGTATCCGCTCACTACAAGTTTCTCATATTTTATGCCATCAGTAAATTAATAAACTGTTTTATTTTATATGACGCTACTATTAATTTCATTTTTTGAGGGAGTTGCGGGGATCGGGAAGTATTTCGAGTTGTTATTCATGGTAGACTGACATCAGCTGGGGGAATAAGGGAAACCTGGGAGCACTGGACAGCTGTTTCATCCGACTAGTATGGGACTCCTCAACAGTGTGCACCCACGACCTCACCCTCCAGGGATCGAACCCGTGACCCTCAGGTTCCGTGGCCAGCACATTACCATTGAGCCACTTGGTCAGAATCCAATGGTCCATATTTTCAACTTCTGTTAGCTCATGATATATATATATATATATATATATATATATATATATATATATATATATATATATATATAATTTATTACCCATAGTCCTACAAGATAACTATACAACTTTCAGACATGCTTTATATAGTCCTAATTTGCTAGCCTCTTCGTGATATGAGTAGTAAGATTTCTAATATATCCGAAACAGATTCTGAGTCAATCCTATTGAAGGCATTAGGTGATGATTCGATGAACAAAGATTCAATTATCAATTTCCCCCTCTATCCAAATAAGTTAATTTTTAATACTGTCACTGATTGTGTGTAATCGTGTGAAGAGCTATGGCTGAGCTTTTGTCCAAATTCCTAACCTTACTAGGATTCATCATTTTTGGCCTAACTAGATTTTTGTGCTCGAATAGCCTAACCGACCCTGGCCGACTACTTAAATATGTGTATTACACCTCAAAATCATTGCAAGGGATTTGATAAACTGAGTTATTCTGTTTAATTGGGTTAGTAGGATCTTTTAACCTACAAAGCTTATTTCTAAGTGAGTCTTTAGGCTTAAATGATACTCTGATACCAGCCAGACATACTGAGAATCCTACGTAGTGTTTCTCAGGTGCCTTCCTTGTGTGGTAATGGTGTAGTGGTTTGAATTCTCCTTTCACAGTATTACTACTACTATTATTGACACTAATGCTATTATTATTATTATTGCCACTATTGATATCTGCGTTACGGATATTTTCCTTACAATTCCTGAGGAATTTATCAATTAATTTGAGAGGGTAAATATTGATGAGTTAGGCGTGTTCAATGTATCTGGTTTCTTGTCTTAGATCTCCTGTTTTACTAGTAAGCAGTAAATAGTGAAGGGGAATTAAGGATACTGAATCGCAGAATAAAAAGAAAACAAGATGGAAGCTTAGACACTAGTGTCTACAGAAAACCTTTACATTCAAGTCGTTACTTAGACTTCAAATCGTCTCACTCTATATCAGTTAAAATTGGCTTATTGGAGTGTTTAAGTAACAGAGACAAAAACTTAACAGTAAAACAGAAGATCTAAGACAGGAAACCAGATACATTGAAGACACCTTACTCATCAACATTTACCTTCCCAGGTTAATTGATAAATTCCTCAGGAATTGTAAGGAAAATATCCGTAACGCAGATATCAATAGTGGCAATAATAATAATAATAGCAATTGTGTCAATAATAGTAGTAGTAATACTGTGAAAGGAGAATTCAAACCACTACACCATTACCACACAAGGAAGGCACCTGAGAAACACTACGTAGGATTCTCAATATGTCTGGCTGGTATCAGAGTATCATTTAAGCCTAAAGACTCACTTAGAAATAAGCTTCGTAGGCTAACAAACGATGTAAATAGTCTCAACCACGTAGTGAAACTTCACTCTTACATTTTTCTTACACTATGAGATTTAAACTACGGATTATCCACTGTCTAAGCGCAAGAATAACATAAAATGAGCAATCTGTAATGTTATCAATCCATCTTGGTGACTGTTGGTTTCAAGAGGCTTCGAATAACGTAAATGTTTACAATGACGCAATTTACACGGTACTGATGATCAACTCAACTTTGATGCGAGAAAATGAACTTATGTTCACATTAATTTGATTTATTATTATTATTATTATTATTATTATTATTATTATTATTATTATTATTTATCCCTTGGGTTCCTAATGGAACATACCGCTTCAGTAGCATGTCTCCAATGAGCTTTGTTCTCTGAAATCTTTTGAACGTGACTACATGACAGCCCACAACCTCTGATTTCTTCCTCGCACCATCTTCTGTATGTCACCCTCGGACGCCGATTAATTTGATTTCTTTGATGAATACTACTGATAAACATTATCAGCAGTATTACTGTAGTGAAGTTTTAAACTCTTTATCTTACCCATTGGGGTACTTTAAATCCATCTGTCCAGTAGCAGCAGCAGCAGTGAATTCTAATTCGGATTGAAAAGTTCCTTTATGGAATATAAAAAGATGTGATGTCTCCCTTAAGCTTATGGAGAAATCTGTCCCAATTCCGCTGTTTATTTTGTTTCGTCAATACTGGATATAAGGACTGTGAACATAAAACAAGTAGATATGAAATAACATATGTTGTCATAAATAATTTTCACTTCTTAAAATATCCATATGTTTCTATGACAGAATCGTAAGTATTTTTATTCTTTACTAATGAATAAAAGTTTACTGAAAAAAAGAGAGAAATTCCTTCTGTTAGCAGATATCTTCATCATTATTTAACCTATTTTAACAAAAGAGTAAAACCGAAGACGTTATGAAGTTTAATGTATACTTTTTGAGACAAAAGAATTTCGGTGACTTCTGTTCTTTTTATGCCTCTTGGAGTATAATATTACTTCAGATTACCCTATATAAACTAGTTAGTTATAAGGTTAATCAATTCTTTATAGTTTCAAGTTGAAATGATTAGGTTAGCAACAACAAATATATATTGAAGCATTATGTGATAACTTTGAAGGAAATATATGATTGCACTATCCATATGAAGATACGACATACCAAGTGATCCATAATAGAAATCTCAGTAACACCTTTGAAGACAGAAATAAGACAAGGCTGCCTACTATCAGCCATCATCTTCTTGATCGTGATGCACTGGACCATGCAGCAAACCTTGGGAAGCGAGGAGATAGGGATACGCTGTTTGCTTGATGAAAAAAGGCTCAAGGGTTTGGATTTCTCTGACGATTTATGTGTAATGTCTTGTCGCACAAACTCGAAGACCTACAGACGGAAACTAACAAGTTGACAGAAGAGGCAGGCAGCGAAGACGGCACTTCATTAGACATAGCCAAGATGGAGATGATGAAGGTACTCAACCAACAATAGCATCAACAACAAGCATCAGTCACTATCAACGAGAGAGAGAGAAACCTAAACGAAGTAGTCTCTTTCACCTACCTATCTACCTAGACAGTATCGTTTTGACTACAGGCGGCGAAGGCATAGACGAGGATGTCAAAACCAGGATCGGAAAGCACAGGCAAGTGAGGCTTTTACTAATCTGAAATCAGTGTGGAGATCGATTGAACTCAACACAAAGAACAAGATCCGGATTTTTAACACCGAAGTCAAGTCAGTGCTGTTATGCGATGGTTCAGAAACTTGACGCTTCATGGAAAGCACTTCCAACAGACTGCAGACAGTCATCAACAGCTGCCGCCTATGCTCACTCGATACTGAAGGTCAGATGAGAACGGTAAAAAGAATATGCTGAGGAAGAAAGTGGAGATGGATTGGATATACACTGAGAAGGTTAACTGGGGACATCTCGCACCAGGCTCTCGAGTAGAACCCAGATGCGAAACGACAATTTGGGCATCTGAGCCGAGGGTGACATGGAGGCGATCATGTGAAGAGGAGGCGAAAGCTTGTGGGCAGTTGTGGAGTGAGGTTGAAAAGACTGCAGAGAACAGAGTGAAATGGAGACGTACTACTAAAGTGGTATGTTCCACTAGGAACCCAAGAGAAAAATAAGTTTTCTGTTGTCTTTCATTTCTAACTGGTTGATCACTACTTTGTGATTTCAAGTGGTTACCTTCTGGCGATTAGTTGTTCAATGAAGTGTCTGATTGTTCGTTTGAGTCATCCTGGGTGATACAAGCTAGTTGGTTACAGTCCAGGGGATAAGAGAACCCTGTAGTTAGAGACTCTAGGTGATCTGGCTCACTACCAATGTCACTGGCTTATATATATACAAAATTGTCCTTATCTTAACCGCTTTACCTAATCTCATCGTTCCCCCTCATTCCTTTCTCCTCTCTTTCACCACTTTCTACTCTATTTGACCGTTTTTGTTTTCTTCTTCATCCTTCCATTTTATTGCCTTGTTAATTAGTGTACTGATATCAGATAATGGCAATTCGAAATATTACGCAGTAATCCTTGGTCCTATGTTGATCTTGATAATGTTGATGAGTTAGTAGTCAGTTGGACGTCACTGAATGTCAACTGAAGGGACTATTAAAAGGTCATTATAGTTTGTTTTTTCTCTTCTTTCAAGATCATCGAGTGAACATACCTTTTTATTAAGTAATGAAAATTTGGTTTGAGATTATTCAAAACTGATGGGCTTAGTAATTTCAACAATAGGACAATGAGATTAAATTGCCAATTTGCAAATGGGTATAATCAGTGTCAGACTTCTTATAAATGTATACCTAAGTCTCCATATGACATCGATTTTGTAACATTCTAGTATTAAGTATTCATATGTTCACGCTTAATCATTTCATGATTTAACATAGTCCTCTCCTTTCACCACTGGATTTTACTCACCCACTTGTTTTTATTCAGAAGCATAGTGTAAAAAAGAAGCCCTCTGGTTTAACTCTTAAGCCTGAGTGGTCCATTGGATAACGATTTAGCGTTTGAAAGCCGCCACGGGGAGTTTTTACCTCAATGGGAATGACATCACTCACTGGCGCACATGTACCTCCAGGTGACAAGTCTCAAGTAGGACGATCTTTCTCTCCTGGATTCCATTGCTCACCATCACCAATCGAATCGCAAGATAGTGGGGAATATTTCAAGCTCAGGTGGATAGTCTTGGTTGTATTGTGTTCTCTGAGTTGAATTGTTTAATTGTGAAGCTTGCATCGTCTCTCTAAACGACATCATCAGCACTGACTTCAGTATGAAATGAGCTGTCAGTATCTCTCCGTCAGTGAGTGATTTAGTAGCTTGTCCTGACCAACCGGTTTGTGATTGGTTGTTTCCTCCAATTGTTGAGTCATTGACTGACTT